TGCTCTGCTCTGGTGAGACCTCACCTGGAGCACTGTGTCCACCTCTACAGCCCTCAGCACAAGAAGGACGTGGACCTGTTGGAGTGGGTCCAGAGGAGGGCCACCAAAATGATCCGAGGGCTGGAGCCCCTCTCCTACGAGGACAGGCTGAGAGAGTTGGGGTTGTTCAGCCTGGAGAAGGGAAGGCTGCAGGGAGACCTTATTGTGGCCTTTCAGTACTGACAGGGGGCCTATAGGAAAGATGGGGACAATCTTTTTAGCAAGGCCTGTTGTGACAGGACAAGGAATAATGGATTTAAACTAAAGAAGAATAGATTTAGACTAGACATAAGAAAGAAATTTTTTACAATGAGGGTGGTCAGGCACTGGAAGGGGTTGCCCAGAGAGGTAGTGGAAGCCCCATCCCTGGAAACATTCCAGGTCAGGTTGGATGGGGCTCTGAGCAATCTGATCTGGTAAAGCTGTCCCTGCTCACTGCAGGGGGTTTGGGCTAGATGGTCCCTTCCAACCCAAAGCATTCTATGATTCTATCGATTCCTGATTTTGGGAATCCATTTAAGGAAAAGAAGCAGACTAGATCACCTTGCTCTTGGTTACACAGGGATAAAAGGAAGAAAAGAATTTGACATCATTCTTTCTTGTTGCCACAACAGTCCTAAAGCCTGGAAATTCCTGCTTCCTTAAAACTTTGCAGGTCAGGCTACCAACAAGATGTCAAGATCTTTTGGCTCCTGCAAGCAGATATTCTCATTTCAGTGCATGCCTCTAAAGCTAGTTAAAAGTACTGTATACCGTAATATGTGTTTTTGCTGGTCTGTAGCAAATTAAAATATTTTGATATAAAGATCACAGTCATGACTAATATGCATTCTTATTATAGTACAGCTCAAGCTGCCTGCCTGATTGATGAACCTAAGCAAACAGGACAGTATAAATACCCTGACAAACTGCCAGGGCAGATCTATGATGCTGATACCCAGTGCAAATGGCAATTTGGAATGAAAGCAAAACTGTGCAACCTCAGCTTTGTCAAGGTACCTATCGATATACTTTTGAAAAATTAAAATTACATTAGAGAACTGCAGTACACTAAATAAGTACAAGTAATATAGTGTTCTTCAGAGGCCTGGGCTATTTCTCTACCTTATCTTGCTTGGCAATTTGCTTTGAAGGTACTGGCCTCTTTTGAGGAATATCACAATCCCAGGGGAGTTTCAGAAGTAAATGTGTTCTTTCCAGGAGTCATAAAGAGTACAGTTGAATACACAAGACTGATGAGCCCTTGCCTGCTAAGGGAAATTAGCAGGCAGTAGAGTTTTGATCCAAACTTGCATGGGGTGTGGGATGGACTAAGTTTCTTGTGTTTTGGTCCCATTGACAGCAAAGTCTGGAAAAGATCTATAGAGTTATTTTAGAACAATAAAAACGTAACTTATAGTCTTGACTTTGTGAGGAAAGATTAATTTAAATTAACCTGTTACTTTAGTGACTGCTACACTCCGTGCTGATCTCTTCAGAAAAGACATTTTATTAAATAATCTGGAGTGCTCATTCTGAAAATAAGTATTGACGTTTCTTTTACTCCTGTTATTATCCTGGAGTATTTTGATTTTATACTAACCACATTTATCAGGTGATGGCAGCTGTGTTTCTTTTACAGCTAATAAACAAAGAGAGTGAACAGCACTGTGAAGAGACTATGTTCCCAGATATCTCCTGTGTTTTAGAAAATCTAACCTCTTCACAGTATTATAGTCACTGTAGACTTGATGAAATTTTAGCCTTGAACTTTTTAACACAGTTTTTGTCCTATTATAGTCTCACACTCAACATAGTTTTAAAAAATAGAGAGTGAAATGGTGCATAAACAAGAAGGCAATATACAGGATATGGCTGTGCTATGAATCTTAAACCCTGGATTTTCTAAATTCAGAAAAGGTTTTATTTATATGGCTTTCAAGGTAGCAAAAGCATGTATCATTTGTTACTCTTTCTAAACACCAGGAAATAATGGGAATTATGAATACTATAGTGAGTACTTTTTTCTTTTCAGGATATATGCAAATCTCTCTGGTGTCACAAAGTGGGTCATAGGTGTGAGACAAAGTTCATGCCAGCCGCGGAAGGAACAGCTTGTGGTATAAGTATGGTAAGTTGTTTTATAAATAGGACAATGTCATTCTAACTTGTTTTCAGACTGTATTGGGTCAAATACCAGCTCCTGTCAAAACCAGTTTTATCCAGATCCCTCCAGGTTTGCTATCATGGACTTCTGGATTGCTCTGTAAAACATTGCATTGTGATACATAGTCAGGACTGGTCCTCACAGCAGCACCTATCTGATGGTAGGAGGGATGCCTCACCCATCGAGCTATGGAATAAGATATATCTGGAAAATCGAAATCAGTAAGAAAATCCATTAATTATAACAGAAGTTAGATCGAGGCTTCAAATTCCACTCTGATACTCCTTACCATTCCTTAAGCCATAATATTTGCTGTACAGACTAAGGCCATCATGTGTGTTATCATCAGTGATCACTAAAAGAGTATGGGTATTTGTTTTAGTTGAATCTTCTAATTTACACTCATCTATAGTTACCCAAAATATTTTCTTTTGCTGTAATGTTTCTTCTAGTAGAATACTGGTTTGATTTTCAAGTTACTGACAAATGTTCTATTTTGGTTTTTCTCTTTGTGCAGCATTTCATAATTGAATGGTAAAAAGCAGAAATTTTAGCAGAATTTTAGCAGGCTATTTTCAAATTATATGGGAAGTTTTGAGGTTCTGACAGCATGGGACCATAAATTAACATGGATTATCTGAGGAAGAGTAAGCCAAAAAGATACTCTCCAAGAGAACAGTTTTGAAAATTTGTACCTCAGAGATCTTCAACTCAGAAGTTGGACAAATTTTAGGACATTACTTATCTATACCATTGTGTGGATCAATGTCCTATTTCAGAGTCCTTGTCCTACCATGAACTATCTCATTGAGTTCAGTGGGTAACCTCATGTTTATTAGGGTTAAGCACTGGAGCTTTTAAACGTGGATTTTTTTCTTTTTTGCATCTACTAGGTACCGCTAACTCTGATGGGATATTTTTTGGCATTCTTTTGGCAGTGGTGTCGAAGAGGACAGTGTGTCAAATATGGTGATCATGGACCCAAGCCTGTAAATGGCCAGTGGTCTGCCTGGTCCGAGTGGTCAGAGTGTACTCGCACTTGTGGAGGTGGGGTCACATATCAAGAAAGACACTGCAACAATCCAAAGTAAGACATAGATGTGAAAAGGTATTATTTTTATACTAACTATTTAAGTTTTTAGAACAACAAAAAAATAACAGAGTCCATTTCTTTAGGGAAATAGTATGTGTAAAAATGTTTCTAAGACCTTTCTTTCATGTCCAATATGACCAGTCAGTAGCTGAAAGTCAGAAATATGTCCTGATACTAGACAGTAGTGGCCGTCTTAAAACTGCTGGAGTACTAGAACACCTACAGCCCAACTTTCTCAATTTATTTTGTGACACTACAGTTTATCAAATACCTGCAGGAGTAACGAAACGCCACACAGACATATTCACACCTAATAATTTAAAAGCAAGGGAAAAAGGTCTTAAAAGCTATTAAGACTTCTGATGAGATCATATTATCCAGCATAATAAACCAAAAATGGTTGTAGACAGATGTCTTCGTATGTTTGTCATGTTCTTTGCATTCTCTTATGTTTCACAAGTCAGAATAAAGGTGCTAAACCCTAGAATTGTATGCTAACTCATGAAATATTGCTGGTATTTTCCTCTAGTTGATGTCTTATCACTGTAAATACTACGATTCCTTACAATACTATTTCAAAGTAGAGGTAAACTGTTATCTCACCAGCATCTTTCCCAAGTACTCAATTCACTTCAACTTACAAGAAAAAAGGACTTCACTGTTTTATTTCATATATAACTTCCACAGGCATAGACAATGTATTCTTCATTGCACACAATAAAAATAGCATTTAAACTGCAGTAATAAAAAACAGAGAAAATATGACACAGTTTATATGAGGCTGTAAAGAAGCCTCACACCTTCTATACAGTGCTGCAGTAATAATATCCACGCTTCATATACTATGTTATAGGAAAATGTGAGTTAGTTAAAATAGTCTTTATTACCCTCATTCGGTCAAGCCAATTTTTGCAGATCCATAGCAGAGCATTTTCTCAACCTTTTCTGTTGTTTCTCAGTGTATTTTGGTAAATAAAATTACTTGGATAGTTTCCTTTATTAAACTATTTAGCAAGAGAATGCAGGGTCTCGATTACACATCATACACGTATTTTGGTCTTCGTACTCTGGTCCCTGTTTTGCCTGCTAAATCTCCATGTATGACATTGTTCTTTGTATTTATTCATAAACCTTCTCTTGCTTGCCCTGTGCGACAGAAGATTGTCCAGCAATTGAAATATTTCAGTTCGGTGTGCTGTTATAACTGATAATGATTTCAAATGGTCTTCAAACAGAAGCTCTTTTGAGGTGAAGGGTGTCTGTTACTGTAGCATTATGTATTTAAAACTTGCATTCAGAGCGATCTGTCTGTTCTAATTAAAGTAAGACTTGATGCAAGACTTGATGTAACCAAGTAAGACTTGATACCAGAACTGGATTGTATATATACTAAATTTAATTTTATTATATTAGTGATAATTCAGTTAGAACAAAGAGAAGATACTATAAATGTCTCTCAGAGTTAGAGTGATGAAATGACAGGACTATAAATAAGCCATCCACACAGCAGTGTACGAATATCCAGGTAGCTGTATTTCCCATCACAGCACTTTTGTATAAATGTGGAATCATTAGAAAAAATGATACTATCCATTTTCAGTGTTACACCACATGGAACGATTTATAATCTAGACACTGTTCATTGTTCACCTCTAGAACTACACATCAACAAAGAATAATGATTCCTTTCTTCCTGAACTTCTGAAATATATTTCAGATGTTTATATATTTCAGTACATATATGTATATTATTTCATATGTAATATATTTATTTCACTTTTACTAATCCAGATTTGTGTAGGAGCTAATGTTTATTTTGTTCAATAGCTTGACAGACGATTTTGGATAGCAAAATTTTGAGAATGACAAAGAATAACATGTATTTCTGTAAAAGATTAGGACAAGGGGTGTGGATCCTGAAGGACTCACTGGACTCTAAAATGAGGTTTTTAATTAAGTAGTCCATTTTTCAAAGCAACTGACTTCTTATGAACCTTGAGGGAGATTTCTAAGTTTCCAGTGATTTTAAAAGTGACACATCTTATTAGGAGCTTAAAGACAGGTGAAGAACACAATTTCAGGCTGCTGCTTATGAAAATCTCATTACCTGTGTTTGCATGTGAAATTCTCCTCTTGCAAATAATATCCAACCGGTTCAATTCCCTTTCTCTTGACAATTTTAAGACAGACCTTGTGACCACACCCAAACAGCTCTGGGTATGGCTTCTGAATTACCACCTCGGTTATGTACGAATTCATACTAACAAACACCTATGGGGGTCATCTGAGAACACAGAACTATGCAGATTTGCTAAAATCATTATGTTTCTGTAAATTGTCACAGTGTAATTTCATGGATCTGGTTTTCATACATGACAACATTTTACAATTGAGGTACTTTTCCAAGATAGAAATAGATTACATAATTTAATAGTTTAGCTGGGAAAGAACCTGAAGAGTGCCTGAGAGTTTTAAATTAATACCTAAATCATATCTACCCACTTCACAATAGTGCATTGTTCAGGAAGAGTAGAATGGAGTTTTAGGCATGTATGCAATCAAAAGACTAAAGCAAAATTGCTTGAACATGTCTTTTTATTCTTATGTGTACAATATTGGTAACACTGATTAAAGACGATGCAGATGTAAACTAATGCAAAGCAATGATGCCATTTAAAATACTAATTAAAAATGAATACTGTGAAAGACCTTACAGACCTTTCAAATTCATGCAGAATAACATAGTCTAGCTTTGTGATGCTATGTTAGTATGGTCATAATATGAGCAGAAATGTTCTCACTTGAATTTAAATGATTACAAAACATGAAAAAAATAGGAGTCCAGAATTTCAGAGTCTCATTTCCTGTGTAATGCATAAAATACTTTCCTTGATTGGATTAATTCCAGGATTTCTCACTCTCTGTGTTGCACTGCAGTGAATATCCATTTTACTTTCAATGTTCATGAAGTCTGTTCTTAAAAGGGCACTGCAGAATTAATTTAAGCTACTCTTGTAGCATTTTAATATTTGAGTCTTATATGAAGTGGAGTATTTACATCTTTGCACTTATACTCCTTTTACAAATCATTCTTTGGAGACTGTTTTTTTGCTGGCCTTTCTGACCAAATTCCTCCCTTTTCCAATTATGCTCAACAAGGCCTCAACTCTAACAGCATCTATTCATGCAGGTATCTTTACCTATACATGCCAGCGCTGGGGAGGTACACAGACGGATGAGAAGTTTAGGCCATATCTGTATTAGGAGCACCGTATCGCTATAGAAATATCGGAATACCCTCTGTGCAAAGTGTTCCATTGTAAGCGCAGTTATACCAACAGAGCTTCTGTAGGCAGTCAAACCAAAAATCTACAGGTGGTATAAATGTCACCAATACAAGCGTGGTTTTGTCAGTGTAGATCATAGTCTTTTCTCAGAAATTTGGTTCTGTAGATCTACATCTAGTTTCCTGTGAATTACTGAACTCTTACTGACATCTTGTTCATAAAAAACGAAGGTGGGGAAGTTTCCATAATTCTCTGGCCAACAGTTTCAGTAATGGGAGTGTACTGTAATATTAAAATGCTGTAACAGAGCTGGGAAACAGAATGCCTCTTTCAGTGCTCCCTTAGTGTGGTGGAATTTTAAACCATCCTCAAATGCAAGACTGTGGCTAGAAATCACAATCTAGCCATAAATAATTCTATTATATTGCTTGTTTGGTGGCACTTACTTGGAAGGAGGTTGCTTCCTATCCTTAGACTAAAGCAGATTTGTTCTCTGGGGCTGAAGGAGGTCAAGAATCATACATGTGCTGAAGCTGTAAAGAAAGTCTGTAGAGAATTGAGTCAGGTCCCAACGGTTTGGCTGCCTTAACTGAAAGCTCTCACCAACTGCACGGTCAACATAAATACTCCCTGACTTCACTGATGTTGCATATCCTCCCTGCCCTTCACAGGCTGAATTGCCACCAACTAAGACCTTCGCCGTTATACCCAGTGTCAGGATAGCTAGTAGGTGACCTCAAGAAAAGTCACTGGAAGCTGGGTTTTGTCCACAACACATTTTGCTGGTGCTTTAACCCAGTTTTAAATAGAGTAGCAGGTGGCCTTCCACCTCCTCCTTTGAAAGACTGTTTTGTAGCCCAGAATTCTGGAAAAGCCAGATATTGTGTACAGTCAAAGCTGATTCAAAACATAAAAACCAAACCCCAGCTTGGTTAGAGGGTTAGACATATGAGGGTTAGAATTCATAATAAAGCAAACAGAAAAAACACCTGGATTTTCTCATCCATGTTGTAACAAGCTGTCTCCATATTACTCCACTCAGATGCATGTCAAAAGAAGGTGCGTGGGACACCTGATATGGAGAATAGTTATAACAGTATTTAGGGATTTAAACAAACAACTCAAATTATACTTGTTGCAACTGTATTTTTTATACTAAATTATTAATTATTATTGTTAGTTAATATGCTATTATTATTCAGTATCTTTTATATTATTCTAATTTTTTTCCTTAATATGTGTGTAACATGGGCAAGCTGTCCACTGAAAGATCACAGCTTGTCTTCCAAGTATGTATGTTCCCTAATTTTTAAAAATCATTATATAAATGTATGCAAGTGCAGCATTGTTACATTTTTTTTTCACTTGATGCAAGAAACAAACGGTTCTTAGAATTTGGTGGTTTGAAGATTTGGCTCAGTACTTGCAGATGAATATCTGAGCATTGTGAAATGGCAAAAATAACATCAGTGAGTTCCTGTCTAGATCCATAAGGAATACAAAAGTGAGTGCATACATTTCTCAGCAGCTTGTGAGACCTCTCAGTTGCTTTACAAAGAGCAAGTCTTACATTTGACATTGTTTCACAGCTGTGTGCATAGACCAAATAGTTAGAAACTATTATTCTGACAACATAAGGTACTAGCAAAGTAACAGAATATGCTCTTTTTGTTCTGGCCAAAATCAAGGGAAATGCCCAGGTAAGGTCTGCTGAAGTGGATGTGACATGTTTAAAGTTCTCCATGAATTCCAACATTTTCCTAAAGCAGGACAAGTGTGCACAGTCCTTGTTTCCCTTGACTGTTTAAAAGCACATTTTTCAAAATGATTTACAAAACAAATGAACAACCAAATGTAATTATTCATTCTGTTTATGTTTGATCAGTGTTATGTTATCCTTTATTAACTCTTATTGTGATAGGTAATTCTTTGCACATGTTCGTTCCTGGGTTACAGCAGAGTAAAAATAGCTATATAACAAGACTGAAACCAGTCAATACAAAATAGCCCTATAAATTTAAATCAGTGAAAAGATGACTCACCTCTAGATGGTTGCATCTTTGCTGAGTTTGCAGTGATCCAAGCAGATAATTCATGGCAACTGCTTTGCTTGGTTTTAGGAACCATGAAAATTAATGGCCCATATAATAAATACTCATCTCCTAAGACAATTCATCCTCTCATTTTCTCTGTTAATACACATGTAACATGCCAATCACACAAAAAGTAGGTTTTGCAAAAGAATTTTTTTTTTCTTTTTTTTAGGCCACAGTATGGTGGCAAATTCTGCCAAGGTTCCAGCCGGATTTATCAACTTTGTAATAATCAGCCATGTCCAGCAAATAGCTTGGACTTCCGTGCCCAGCAGTGTGCAGAATACAACAGCAAGCCCTTCCGGGGATGGTACTACAAATGGAAGCCATATACGAAAGTGGAAGGTAACTATGCCACAGCTCCGAGGGACAAAGGCAATTGCAGAAAGCCAGCTGTAAGCCGTAATTCATCCATATTCTTTGGGCAAATATCACCCTGATGTAAGCAAATAGAAATTCAGTTGGCTTATTGGAGATGTGTTTGCTTTCTAGCATAGTTGTATCCGGCCTCCTGTGTGATACCGCCTGTATGAACATGCAGAATTGATTTTGGTTGTGAATTTAAATCTCTGACCTTAGCATGACTCCCTGGCTGTTGCTACCCCTCTCTTTCATTTTATATTACATATCTGTTGGTGTAAAAACAAAACAAAACAATTTCCATATTTTTCAGCATGGGAAATGTGAGCTCCCACAATAACACTACCAGAATCTTCCTTCCTTTGGAATGTTCTCAGATTTCAAAACGTAACAATAAATCAACCTTTTGACTTTTCTGCTGGTATAGTCCCATGAGAATTGGAAAAACAAACAATGTACTGGCATAAATTTTTTAAAGTCTTTTACTAAGAGATCTTTATAAAGTTCAGGTCTCAATAACTGTTTCTTGTCTTTTGTACAAGCAAAGTTTGTTTTTACTTCACGCATCTTAATTTTGCAAATATTTTTAATCATTATTCATTTTTATCAGATATAACAAATATTTCCTGCAGTTTGAAAGCACAGTTTGTAGCTGCAATTGCTACTACTTGAATAAAAGTGGCTGGATTGTGTCATATTGAGGCTGCTTCATTTAGTACCCGTACAAACTTGCTTTTTTTGATAATAAGTGTATATTTACACACACACGGAACTTTCATTCATAACCTGATTATATTTTCTTCAAAAGACTTTGCAGACATTTTTGTGGCTATTTAGAAACCTATGTCCTATCAGCCACTGTGAACAGAAGAAAGAGGCAATATGGTTCCACAGCACGTAACAATGGAAGTTGTGTAACAGGGAGAATAATGCATCTTGTTTAACAGAAATTAAAGTAGCCTATGCTGGTTTTAAAGATAGGGGCTGCATTTAGTGAAAGAAATAGGAGCTTAAACTTAGGGACAAAGGGCATAATTTTCAAAATCAAGACGTCCCCACATGACTCTGAACTTGAAAATGCCTGTCCTTACTCTCTTAGCTGCTTTTCAAAATCTCCCCCAAGATCTACATTCATAGTCCTGAAAACATGATCTCATTTGCAAAATTGCTACAGATGCTTTGCCTCTGTAGAAAGTACTATTGAAAATCCAGTTGCCTATTAAGAATTAAAGGATACTATTTTGAATCCAGTTTCGTGTTCTTCAAAATTTTGTTATTTGTTGCACTTACTGTTTGTATTAAAATTGCGTATTTCAGCAATTGTGACAGTATTTACAGATTGGTTTTTTCTATGTAGAATTAATCAGCCCTTTATAAGCATAACATACCATCCGTGTATAAAAAGAAACGTGATTGACAATGGTTGGGATTTTTTAGAAGAAAAGTGCTTTTTTTTAGGGGAAAATCTGGCCCCAGTCCTAACTTTCATCCCAACTGATCATTTGTGCCATCTTATATCTTTTTCAAATTTTAACTGAAAATTAAATAAAATTATTACAAACTCCCATTTCCCTTAACAAAAAATGAAATTTGAAACTGTGGACCAGTGGAACTGAAATCAGGGCCACATCAGCAGAGCTAATGCAATGTGCATGTTTTCATACTGGCTTTGAATTCTTAATTCTATGTGTGGATAGTCAAACCCACATGTTCTTTTAAAATAGCATAATACAAGCTACTGTATTTGGCTATATTTCTGCCCATCTTGGGGTCCTCATATGTCACCACACACAATTAATCCTCGTAGCTTGTCATCTAGGATGCAGGAAGAAACAATAGCAGGGTGGTTTTGGTTTTTTTTTTTTTTTTTTAAACTGTGCTGCAGGTCTGCTAATACTTTCTTGTCTTGTTTTTTGTTGGTTTTTTTTCCCCCCCAGAGGAAGACAGATGTAAATTGTACTGCACAGCTGAAGACTTTGACTTTTTCTTTGCAATGTCCAGCAAAGTGAAGGATGGAACTCTGTGTTCTCCAAATGCATACGATGTTTGCATTGATGGAATATGTGAAGTAAGATAAAAATCAAGTTTCTTACAATCCTAATGTCTATTTTTTAAGTGGGCAATTGTCTCCTTTATGGAAAATGCAGCTGTTTCTTCAAATTCCCTTGTGTCTGAGTCCTTCACTTGTGCCTTTTGGTTGCAGCAAGTAGGGTGTGATCATGGACTTGGTTCCAAAGCTGTATTGGATGCTTGTGGAGTTTGTAAAGGAGATAATTCAACGTGCAAGTTCTTTAAAGGCCAATACTTGATCCAGCACAAAGCTAATGGTAAGGAAAGCTGTTCCACATGATCATCAACTCATTGCTCTTCTCTATCCCCATGTAATATATATGACTCCTTGCTCATTAGGGCAGTGGCTGAAAGTCCAGATGTGAACTGAAAATCACAGGGAGAGTGAGAGGAGAGTTCACATTTCTCCTGTTTCTTGGTTACAAGAAAGCTATGAGCATAAGTCTTGGTTAGTTAATTTGCAAGCATTGCTCTTGTTTCTTAAGCCACATTTTCCCTTTACATGTGAATTTCCTCTTAGAAGAGATTTTAGGATTCAGGCAAATGAAAAAATAGCTGTCAACAGCTCTGACTGGAATGGGACTGTAGAAGATAAAAAAAGCGATACACAGCATAATGCCAAACATGACAGTATTTCCATGTCCATTTTCAAATTAAGTTGACTGGAAGCTGTCCAGCTGATTCAGTGGATGATCCAGCCACTGGGAGCTGGACTTTTCTTTAGTGGACTGTCACAGGCTTCTTGTGAAATAATCTCACTATGCCTCAGTTTCTCAGGCATAAAATGCAGATAATATTTCTTTACCCACAGGGGTATTTTGAGGATCCATTTACTGTTGATCATAAGAGATGTCAATACTACACTAATATACACCAGGAAATTGCTTAGGATATAGTAATACAGAGATACAAATACTACAAAAATAATCTAAACTGAATGCTCTGCGAAATTAGCTGTGTGCAGTGCATGTGGGAGATTGTCAGCAGTGTCTCATCTGACTGTACAATGAGTGCGATTTCTACATGCTCAGAGGGCAATGGGTTACAGCAGGGAGACCCAGTGGTAGACCGGGCTTTGTGAAAGCTCTCTGCATCCCAGTGCATCTCACCTCAAAAACCTTGTCCATGATGGAAGCAGTACCTTCCAACTACTGTAGGGAACTACAGGGAAAACATGGTAAAAGAATTACAGTGAAACCACCATTAGGCTGTTCTGCATTTTTCAAAGGTGAACTTGCTTTTTCTTGTCTTTAATCACAAAGAAAAATTCCAGGAATTGAAATACCTCTGAGTTACTCTGATTACAGGCTGCATATGGGGGTTAAAAACAGAACTGGTTTCTCCGAGTGAAAATGGAGTAACTTTGATGGATCAGAACAGCTGTCTTCAATATCTTTTAAACTCAAAAATTTCAAATTGGCCCAAAAATGATAAGCCATCTCTATCTGCATGACAACTGCAAAAATGTTGCTTACTTCTTTCATTTCAGACTACTATGCCGTGGTCACTATTCCAGCAGGAGCACGCAGTATACAGCTCTACGAAATGCAAATCTCCACCAGCTACCTTGCAGTGCGCAACCTCAGTAAAAAGTATTATCTAACGGGAGACTGGACAATTGACTGGCCAGGAAAGTTCTCTTTTGCTGGAACAGTTTTTGATTATCAACGCTCTTTTAACCATCCAGAGAGTCTATATGCAGCAGGACCGACTAATGAGACGCTGGTCTTTGAAGTAAGCTTTCTTCTGTTTATTCTTCCCTTGATGTCTATTACAGAATTAGTAACGACAGCTTTAGCTCTGCGCTGTAGCTCTCAGCAAGATTAAAGAATAGCACTGAGTCACGATAGTATTCAGACTTAATTGTGTGGTCATGCTAGATTGAAAGGCCTTTCAGCAGTTTATCAAGGTCTGAAGTTTAGTAAACTGTCACAAATGCAGTGAAAAGGAAGGTGCATAAAACACACCATATAGCATTATTTCTCAGTTGCTGCACAATGGTAATAGAGATTATAAACGCATCACATAAATGGTATACAATAAAATTCGGTGATGTAAAAATCAAATCTAACATTATGGCACGGCTTAATGGTAACAGTTTCAAATAACGCTTCTGAAACTGCAGGCACATGTAGCCATTTTTACATCTACCTTGGGACACAGATGGTCACAGTACCACACACAGGCTCCTGTGTAATTTCTGGTGATTCAGTTTTATTGGTGATAGCGTCTAAAATAATGAAGTTTATACATGTTCATCTCCCAGTCAAAGCTGTATCACCTACTCTGTCTGCCAGATGTCTTGTGTTAAAACTACCTTTAGTAGAAAGTAAATTTGTTACTTATATGGTTGTTCCAGTGTCACAATTTTGAAATTGGCCACTAATAGTTCTGTTCTAAGAAAAAATCTCTTTCTGCATTAGGTTACTTTACTACATTTTCTTTTCGAATGGATCAGAACAGCTGAGGGTCAATTTCTGGCTGAATCGCCGAAGTCTTTACTCCCCGTTAGCGACATTAGTTTGCCTGCTTTGTTGGAAAGCTCAAGCAAACCCTTGGCTTTGTAACTCATCTGTTATGTCTGTTTTGATGAATCCTTCCCTGTGAGAAGGAAGGAGCCCTCCCCAGAAGGGATTCAATTCCTTCCCACACCTTCCAGCAATACTCTGGTCAGCTCACTATCAAACGCACAGCTTTCTCTGGCGTGCACTTGGGGAGCATGAGAGCGAGTGCTGCACCCGTTCTCCAAGGCAGCAATCTGCGGTTCTTTGCCCCATCATGTAACGCTGACTGAAAACTGCTCTCTGCAGAAGTTTAGCAGGAGCAGTTAGCTGAGAACTCTGCATCCCATCTCCCTTATGCAGCTTTGTTCTGTTAAACTAAGAAACACAGTAAGTATAGATTGTGACAGGAAATATATTCTTCAAGGATTATTTAAACTTTCACAACCATTCAGTGAAGTTTTTATTTGGAATACTGAAGAGCCTTACTGCTGTTCATACTGATTGAGCAATGTACTTAAACTGTCTTTAAGAACCCCTGACGTTCATGGACCATGAACACATGTTCAAGTATTTAGGATGAACACATGTTTTAGAACGGAGAGTTTGACATGGGCTAAGGGCGTGTATTTTCACAAATTACTGTCACAATTTGCTAATGCCTTTTTAAAACGTCTTTTCTCAGTTGAAGAATTTTCATTTTGGGTATGTATGTTAATAGAGATGCTTTAGTCCCAGGAAGAGGTTGGTCTACAAGTTACAGACATGCTTCTCTGTCTGCAAATCACCTCCAAAATAGCCTTACACCAAAGAAACAAGCACACTTACAAATACTATGAAATGTTAAGCTGAACTCTCAGGAATCTTATTTGTCATAATACAAAGTAGATTGAACTGTATTATTATAGAGCTAAAATATGAATAATAAATTGCCTGTAAGATGATTTACTTGGCTGCATATCATGCACATACTTTGTAGAATAAAGATTAAAGAAAAAAATTTTAATGCGAAATAACACTTCTATTTTCATCCTATCAAATTATGCTAACCAGTTTTATTAAGATTTAACATTTAACTGGAGGCTATTGCTCCTATGAGAGCTTATTTAAACTTCCCTTGTATTTTTATTGAAATACCTACACCACTGGCATTGGTAACTAGGGATTCTAATGACTGAAAATGTTACAGCTACGTGTTCCCCAATTATATATATCTATGAGCTGTAGTTAAGACTTTTTTTCCTTTCAATAATTTAAACAACATTCAACAATCTGAATTCTGAAAAAAATGCAAAACTTTCTGTTCAGAGATCTGCATTATTTATGACTTGCCGATAAGTAAGCAGCAAAAATGCCAATGAAAACTAAAGAAATGTGCTTTTATGAGAAAACACACATATTCCTGAAGATCTGTTTGCAGCAGTAATAATGAAACAAATCCTACTTCAACTATAAATACCAGAAACTCATAGAAGGCTGAAAAAAGGAATGTTTAAGCATACTGCATTGTAGCTTTGTTTTTATCTCATCTGTAACTTTCAAAGCAGCATACAAAAAAAGTTCTGCCAGCAATTTTTTATCCAATTAAGTCGATTTTCAGTAAGATAAGGCTTTCCAGGGTTTGGGCCTCAACTTCTTCCTGTAATGTTTAGGTACCTTTTTCTTCAATTTTTAATTAGGTTGTATTCAAAAGAAATTTAATACTTATTTTCTAGATTAGGTTTTTTTCCAGAAGAATTCAGTGCAAGCCCTTGTAAAAATGCACACTGCATGTATTGAGAAATTGAACAAATTGCATGCATAAATACAGGAAATTTTATTATTCAGGTGGGCAGAAAATATAAGGTTTTGTAGGTGTATTTATTGCCATTGCACTATGATCTGAAAGAGAGATTAACACAGCTTGTGCCTATTTAATTTTGTAGTCATAGTTTTGCTAGACATTTGTGTGGCGACTCAAACGGTCCAGGGTTTCGATTGTGTTTCTGAATGCAAACCAGCCTGCATGTATCCAGAAAGCTCAGGTTACGCACCTCCTCTGAGCAACATTCACAGGAGAGGATGGGACCAGTGCTCTCCAGGTATGGGTCCAGACAGGTCTGGCAAGTCTGTGCTCGAGGCAATCACTTCCTTTGAAATGCAGTCATTCTCCAAAATATTTTCTTGAAAGAGACATCTGAAGCATGTATTAAGAGAGAAGGAGGAAGCCCAAGTAAGAAAAAAAATCTTAAAATTCCCTGTTGTCTCGCATATCACAAGTTCAGCCTTGCAGTTCTACGAAATGTTTTGTATTTATATCTTACTGTACAGTATGTTCCTATGCATCTATTTTTCTGTCAGGTTTTTCAACAGTTCAGCTGAGCATGGATCGTTTAATCAGACTTTGCAGTCCTAAATACTGTTCAAAAATGCTTAAGAGACAAGAAAAAGACTGATAGAAGTGCTTTTCTTATTTACTTTGGAATTTCGCAGAAAAATAAATACATATATATGTATATTTACATATACGTATGTAATTATGGGAATGACTCATACCAAAGAAGACAAAGGGCAGTGAATGTGTAATTTAACTGGGTTGTGGGACAAAAAATACAAACTATAGCGGTCAAATATTATTTTCTGAGGAGGAAGAGAACATTGTGAGATGAATGTGGTATTAAATGTGTAGGACTAGTATTTCCTGAGCACAACTACTGAAAGTGTAAATGCATGATAAGATTGTAGAATTCATCAGAACCCTTTCTGGATTGTTCAAGAATTAATTTCACAGATGGAGGGAAAGCAAAAACCAGCATACCAGTGCCCTTCAGAATTTGTGTATCTGTAGCCTTCTGAAGTTAGAATTATTGATACTTCAGTGATTGTGGGTTTGTAGAAACCAATAAAAGCTGAAATAAAAAATATTCATGGATTCAGAAGGCAGTTCCCGAAATGGTCAGATTCAGGTTAGATGAAATAACAGACAATGGTCAAAGGGGTAGAAATATGATAGTTAAATGATAATCTAGGATCAAAAATTAATACCAGGTTTTAAAAATAAGGTTTCTGTAGGGTAATTGTCTCATCTTAAATGAAAACATGCTGGAATTTTTTTTTTTAACGTAGTTGAATATATTCAGCTCATTTATCTTTCATTTGGTTATAGGTAATCTAAGGTCAGCACTTTCAATTTAAAGACCTTGTCAGTGTTCTTCTGTTAACTGAAAAATACTTAACTTGAGGAGAAACAAACAGTAAATTCATCATTCATTTATCTAGCTCTGCGAAAAAGGGCTGCCAGCGGGCACCACTAGCTGCTGAAAATACATTCCAGAAGAGGCTAGCAGAGCACAAGGGACATTGCCATCACAGGGCTCTATCAATACAGAACACGTGTGAGGTTCACTTGTGACATCCATTTGTTGAAATATTCAGTCACCCTCCACGACTGACTTGAATTACGGCAAAGATTCTGAAAGGGCAAAAGATACGGAACTGTTATGTGGGCATGAAAAGTATTGCATGACCCAAGGCTGATAAACTAACTTAAAACCATGAGAATTTAGTAATTTTGTTTTTCCATTCTATCAATAGAGAGATGAAGAATCGACTGATTTGAGAAGTCAAATACAATTTGAGAAAGCACTGTAAAGTTTTTCAGGACGAGACAGGATCAGTATCCTCACTGAAATTTACCTGAAACTTGGTGAAATATTGAATCAAGAAATTGTGAAATCTTTGTAAGAAAAGATAGTTTATTTCGACAACAATAAGTAACAGATGGAAAGGATGCTTTGCAAACAGGCAGACATTCACAGGAAGAGAAGGTGAATGGAGCTTCAAGGCAGGAATATGTCTAATTAAAACCAGTAAATCACTTCCTCGTTATCAACAGGGGAAAAAACGAGAAAGGAGGCCAGGTGGAATGACTTTACTGATGATCTAGCTGCCACTGGGAGAAAGCCAAGTTGCAGTTATAAAGCATTACATTTATTATTAGCTACTAGATGATAAATTTGTACTGATTTCCCTTACAGAGAAGCTGTAAGCTGTAAGCTAAAGAGCGCTAAGATGTGCTTATAAGATACAGATGTTGATTCAATACAATGGATAAAAGGGTTCTCCTTCAGTGAGGAGAGATTAGCTGGACAGTATCCCTGAAGGTTGTACATTTAGCATGTGAACAGTAAAAAAATGGAGACACAATAACAACAGAAGATAAATTTGAAACAGCTGAAGTAGAAATGAGATCAT